CCTTGTTTCTGTGTCTTCTAAATGCACAAGAAAGTGGAATTTCTGCTACCTAAAAGTGTTCTTTTCTCAGAGTATGATCCAAATATTGTCGGAGAGGACCTCTTTGATCTATTGAAAATACTGAGTTCTGATATCTAAATACAGCTGTCATCAGGCGAATATAGGTTTTTTTTTTGTCACAGTGACAGGTCGGAACTTTGTTTAACCGACTGAAAAGAGGTGTTCACTTGTTCAATTCAAACAAGAAATACAAAAAGAATGATCTTGACTGCTGAAGAGCTCCAAGGAAGTATAATTTCCTATTTGTCTTGAAAGGGGTCTTATTTCAGTGACACATTTCACTGTAATCGCTGTCAAGACAAAAAGCCAAGCACAAGGTGCGTGGGCCAAAAATCCGGGTAAAAAAAAAGCCAGGTTCCATAACTTACAGTACCATATCATATCATATCCCTAGGTTCAAATAGAGGAGGAAGGTGTCAACTCAAACAAACTCTTAAAAGATCAAAATAATGAGGGATGTACCTTACAATATCAGAAAGTGCAATAATAGGATTGCTACTTTGTAGTCATTATGCAGAAAACGGGTAATTGCTAAAGGAGTCATACAGAAAATGGCAATTGTTAAATTCAGACAGGTAGAAGAGAGGATATAGCAACGCATTGACACTATTTTTTTTTCGTGCGAGCGAGACAGACAAGTGTGCTATACCATTGACACGAGAAGATCAAACTATGCAAATATTTTTTCATATCATTTTCCATCATTTTATTATATCAGGACATGGCAAGAGAACCCACAAAAAGAAATATTAGCTACGCCAAAATACGAAAGTAAAGAGGAGGAACAAAGTGGCAGGACCAAACAATTTAAATTCTGACCTTCTCACGTCCGTTGACGTTTCAAGCGAAAAGCTTTTAAATGAAACATAATTCTCTGTCTCAACGTTCCACTGATGCTCTCGTTTTTGTTGTTTCCGTCCTGCGCCTGGTTTTTTTGTTTTTTGTTTTTAACGACACTACAATTTTTAACTGGCATACCCTGCCGTACAACAATCGCCAAATAATATTAAACACATACTACCGTTATAACACAATAATTACGTATACAATGCTATAATAATTTAGAAATGTTAACTAGATACAATACTTTAAATACTACAAAACCCCTATTAAAAAGAATCTATAAGTAGCTTTTATTTCTTCACATAGCGTGATATTACGATTTAAAAACTTACCACAGTCGAACCTGTATAAAGCGGCACCGTGTTATATTACAATTTAGCGGTGACCCTGTATTAAACGGTCGGTTTTTAAAGTCCCCGAAATTTTCTCCCTTTAATTTCCGTAATTGTTTCCTCTATTCAGCGGTCGCGGTCACCCTTGACTGAGTCTTAGTGGCCTGTTTCCATTGCCTTCCACCTGTATTGAACGATCACTTATAGCGGAACCATCTAGGAAACTCCAACTCTGTGTACTCGTCACTCCGTCACTTCAAACAGGGTAGCCAATTTAACTTCGAGGCTGTTGTCCAGAGGGGCCCTGTATACGCCTAAAATCATTACCATATTATAGTCAATTACAAAATACACTTGTAGTCTATAGACTTGTGGTTCAAGAAAAACTAAAAAAAAAAAAAACCAAAATATTTAAAATCGAATTCTCCTAAACACTTGTTTGCTAAGACCTTAAGGTATTATTAAAAAAAACCTAATAAATACATATGTAGAACTGGATCCATATTACAAGACAGGATGACCGCTGAATAAAGGTTCGGCTGTAATCAGTACCTTTACACGTTACCCAAGATAAATATCAATAATACCAAACTGCTTTTCATAACATGTATTTGGAAGTTGCTTTGCAACGATATAAAAAAGCTAACAGACCTTCTTTGCTCGCAGTTTTTCACCAACTTCAAAGGCCGTTCTTTGTGATCACATCAAAACAGTCAACTGGAGGAGGACTCTGAATAAGTTCTTCAAACAAAGACTTCAACAACTTCTCTGCGATTGCTATAGAATCCGCAAAGAGGGGTCCAAGTTTGTAACCATGTTTGTAGGTAAGTGTAACCAACCATCAAGCTCACCGTCCACGGCCATTCGTGCGTGACTACCTGTCACGCGAGGCCATTTTGACAAGGAAGCTTGGCGTTCAAAGCCAAACACGCTTGTGTCGTACACGACTAAAGCTCTTTGTTCCACTTCATCGATGCGATTTATTTCTGCGTTCATTCCCTCTGATATTTCAGAGGAGCGAGTTATGGCTGTTGGAAGATGAAAGTCAAATCATGTTCCATAAAACTGAGTTCGAAAGCCGCTCCTCTCGAACATTTTTTCCTTTTGATCGGTGCTATCAGTCCGATGCTGCATGACGGTGTCAGATTTGACATTTATATATTTTAGTTTTCGAGAAGTGATTTTCTTATTTCGACCGCTCAAATATGCAAATTTTCACCGTGAATATTACCCGAGTTGTGTGACCTTATTGTAAGGAATATACTAAACCTAGGGTAGTTCTGTGAACATAATCCTTTGTTTATCATCTTAACTTAATCCCCTGTCATTATTGAAGCTGGGAAAGAAATAATTAATTTTTTGGTGAATATTTTTGTCCGGCATACTTTTGCTATGTCGAAAAGTAGCATCAAAACAAAGACAGTTTTAACAATGACCGATATGACAGGATCTACTGAGCTTCTAGCTTTTAAAAGAAAAAAGGATGGTTATGAAGTTGCTGTCAAAATTTCTTTGTGTATTTGTGTTTTTCTATCTTGAGACGAACTCAAAGTCCGGCAAAATTTACTTGATAGCGGCTATGAAATAGACATGCTGTGCTTACTTGTCGCCACGGTTAATTGGCATAAATCACTACAATTTGCAAAAAAATCTAATATGATGGCCAAGGATTAAGTTAGGATGATAAAACAAACTATTATGTTGACAGAAATGCCGGAGATCGAGTGGAATTGTTACATGAGGTCGCACAACTCGGATAATAGTCACGCTGAAAATTTGCATATTTGAGCGGTCGAACGAAAAAAGTCATTTCTCGAAAACTAAAATGTATTTTCGCAAAAAAACTACACCACAATTATAAGAACATATTGGGCTACAAAATATGAAAGTAGGAGTGAAAACTAATTTTGGGCGACTTGCCACGATATTTCAAATTTGTGCGATTGATGCTGACATCCTCTCTTAAAATCCACAATGCATTCTTAGATCCGTTCAAGCGTCGAACTTTGCATGAGAGCTAGAAGGATAAATCGGTCATTTCTCAACCTGTTTGGATTGAAGGAATCAATGCGTTGGCTAGGCAAAAGGAGCATTGTGCCATTAAGGCATAAAATACGAATCTGTAACTTGAAAAATTATCTGGGGTTACTGAATATTTCGAATGGGCGACATAACACTTTCCCTGACCAATGGACAGAAAATTGGAAGCGTTCAGCATACTCAAATTTTCATTTTTACCACAAAAAAAGGTTCGATGATGGGATGACTCCATTAAAACGGGTTTTTTTTAGTAACAGCATGGGAAAGTTTGAACAGAATGTGTAAACTTTTGAGAGATTACAATCGTGACAAGATGTTTGTGAATAGAAATAATCATGCTTCAATGACTACTCGTGGTCCATTATAATCCAGGGAACAGGTTCGAATGAAATACATTGAGGGCCGAAAACAAAAGACTAAAGCCTTTGAACGAGAACTGAATTTCATTGGTCTACAGGAAGTCCAAACTAAACATAGTTTAATACTCATGGGAGAAAGGTGTGGTGAAGTCACTCAAAAATGCTTTCTGTTTTCATGCAGAAAGCTCTTTAACTTTAAAATCATTCAGCCGGAGGTAAATAGTGCTACACGCTGATGGTGAAGGGTGACAGCTTCACCAAACAAAAGCAATACTTTTGAATATATTGTGTGATTTTTTCCAAATGCTTCGCTCAAAAGGTCTTAAAATCCACAATATATTCTTAGGTCCGTTCAAACGTCAAACTTTCCATGACAGTCGGAAGGATAAGTCGGTCATTTCTTAACCTGTTTGGATTGAAGGAATCAATGCGTTAGCTAGGCGACAGGAGAACTGTGTCATTAAGACATAGAATACGAATCTGTAACTTGAAAAATTATCTAAGGTTACTGAATATTTCGAATGTGCGACATAACACTTTCACAGTCACTCAAAAATGCTTCCTGTTTTCATGCAGAAAGCTCTTTAACTTTAAAATCACGAAGCCGGAGGTAAATAGTGCTACACGCTGCTGGTGAAGGGTAACAGCCTTCTCCTAGCAAAAGCAATACTGCGGTTTGACTTGCAGCTCCATTAAGAACCAATTTATTGACCACGTAAAATAGCGCAGCAGCTTGGAATTGCTGATCAACTGCACATGTTCCGCCGACAGATTGACGATTGATTTAATCAAAGCCATCCATACAGGAACAGCAAAATTGCAGCAAAATGAACAGAATGTGTAAACTGTCCAGAGATTACAACCGCGGCAGGATGTTTTTTAATAAAAATAATCACGCTTCAATGCCTGCTCATGGTCCATTATAATCCTGGAGACAGGTTCGAGTGAAGTACATTAAGGGCCGAAACAAAAGACAAAAGCCTTTGAACTACAAGAACTGAATTTAATCGGTCTACAGGAAGTCGAAACTAAATATTGCTTATTACTCATGGGAGAAAGGTGTGGTGAAGTCACTCAGAAATGCTTCCTGTTTTCAAGCAGAAAGCTCTTTAACTTTAAAATCTCTAGGCTGGTGGTGAATAGTGCTACGCGCTGCTGGAGAAGGTGACAGCCTTTGCTTAGCAAAAGCAATACTTTGGTTTGATCTTCAGCTCTATTAAGAACCAATTCATTGACCACGTAAAATAGCGCAGCAGCTTGGAACTGCTGATCAACTCCGCGTGTTCCGCCGAGATATTGACGATTGCTTTAATCAACGTTGTCCACACAGGAACTGCAAAATTACAGCAAAACTCTGAGGTACATGATGGTGGGTTTACTGTTGACCATAGCTGAATATCGTCCTGTGCTGTTATTCTTGTTAGTTCATTCAGTTACGATTTCGAATTCCAACTACACAAAAGAGCCATGTCGGCCGTTTTCCAAGATATCAACAGATTTGGAAACAAAAGAAGGAGACACGCTTCAAACGAGGATGGTGCAATGTATGCTTATTAACCCGGAGAATGAATTAGGGAAATTCAATTTTGATATCAGCTGGGCTTTTAACGCTACAACGGGCATTAATAACTATAATTTGATCTACGTCAGTGTCGTGTTTTGGTGCCTGTCGCCAATTGAGCTCGATTTCATCAACCCAAACAACATGGAGAAAAAGAACGTTGTACTGGCTCTCTCACTTAAAGGTGAGTGCAAAGTGTCGGTACAAAATCTCGCTGTCTTTGCAAAAGCAACCGACTTACGACTTCTGAGTCTAAAAGGAACGAAGGTAACATGGTTGGCTGCATCCGGCTCTGGAAACGTAACTCATGGAAATGACAGTTTCACAAAGGACATGAAAAAGCTATCATCCTTGCTGGTCCAAGACAGTTTTCCAGCAAACATACGCGCTATGTTTTCCGACTCAAACAACGTCTGGCGGGAAATGGCTGAAGTTAACTTTAAGCGAATACCAGTAAAAGGAATCCCAGAACAATGGAAGACTACCATGCCATTGCTACAAAGACTTCTCATGGTAGAATGCAATTTGAAGAAACCACCAGAATTTCCTTGGAGCGACTCTACCCTGGAGTATCAACGTGGGCTGAGAAGGACAGCTGATAGTTTCCATTCTGTAACGTCGACCCATGTTAAAGGTAACCTTTACGTTCGCGTATTGCGTTTAGATTACAATAATATTGTTGACCTAACGTCTCACGAGTTCAGCGGACTGTTGCATGTGTTAAGCCTGCGAGGAAATGGCTTACGGACAGTTGGGCCGTTATGTTTTCGCAAATTACGAGGAATTCAAATGATTGACCTCAGCGAAAATAATTTAGTGTCCTTACCTCAAGATCTATTTCTAAGGTTGACCTCATTGCGGCAAGTCTATCTTCGTTCGAACAAGTTGAAGATTATTGAACAAAAACTGTTTAAAGACCTGAATTATGTTACGGTTGCTACACTTGATCGAAACAACCTGGACCATATTCCAAAGGGACTGTTCAGCTCATTAGATTCCCTGGAAATCCTAGATTTGGGAACTAACAACATCACAAAAATCGAGGAAAATCCTTTTTCGAAGAATGCCTCTTTACAAGTGCTGTATCTCGACAACAACAGACTTTCCAGCATCCCTTCGTGGATATTTCTTCTGCCAGACATAAGGCTTATCAACCTCTCTTCTAACGGATTAAAATTTCAGGATCTTGACAAGGCATTAGATAGTTTAATTGTACCGTTCGAGGGCGAAACAAAACAGCTCAAAGACCTTGATTTGTCGGGCAATAACATTACCACACTAATAGATTCCGATGGTTTAAAAATGATTAAACGGGACGAAAGAATCAATCCAATTTATCAAGCCAAGTATCTTTACCTTTGGAAATCGTATTCGATCAAACTGAATGGAAATCCGCTGGCTTGTGATTGCATTATGTCTGCTGTGGCGCAAGAAGTAAAGAAATTGGTGCAGAGCCGTCCTTACATTCGATCCAGGTTTTCAACCTGGAAATGTCATTGGCCACAAAGATTGAAAAACAGAATGATACTAGAGATTGAAGAAAATCAGTGGATGGTGAGAGAAGAAAAAGGTAATACCAAGTGTCCAGTCCAGTGCATCTGCCTGGAACGCTGCTCAGATGGAAGAATGATTGTTGATTGCGAAAGGAGGAATCTTACTGAAGTACCAAGCGTGGTGCCACAGGGTCTGGTGGAGCTTAACCTAGAAGCCAATACTATTCAGAGTGTTCCAGCTTATCCTTACATGGTTAATGTTACCATATTAAGACTGACCAATAACCAAATTAAGTCGCTGACGGCTTCCACATTGGAGAGACTCGAGAATATCGAGATTTTGCTTCTTGATGCTAACCAACTGGCAACTTTACCGAGGGAAATCAAGACTCTTAAGTTCACAACGTTAGCATTGGATGGAAACTTATTCAAATGCGACTGCACAACCAAGTGGATGAAAGACTGGCTAGTGAAGGAAAGGAATCGGATAAAGAACATTGAAAGAGTTCTTTGTAACTCTGAGCATGTTTATGGGAAACCAATGTACAGTTTACCAGACGACCAGTTCATCTGCCCTGCTCAGCTTAACGAACAGAATGCAGGAATCATAGCCGCATGTATTCTCGGTGCGCTCTTAGCCTTAGTAATGATTATCGTTGTCTTAATATACAAATACAATGGAGAAGTCAAGGTCTTTATGTTCACCCACTTTGACTGGCACCCGTTTGATCGTATAGATGACTCGGATCCAAACAAAATATACGACGCTTTTCTATCGTTCAGTGAGAACGATGTCGATTGGACCGTAAACACATTACAGAGACGTCTTGAAACACATGATCCTCCTTACAGACTGTGCATTCACCACCGCGACTTTGAGCCTGGAGTTCCAATTGTAGAAAATATATGGAAAAGCCTTGATCAAAGCAAGCGTATGTTAGTGGTGCTTTCACCGAGCTATGCTACAAGTGACTGGTGTTTGATGGAGTTTCGTGCCGCTCATCAAAAAGTGATGGAGGATCGCATGAAGTACCTGATTTTGATACTGTTAGAAGATGTAGACACCAACCAGTTGGATAAAGAGATACAGAATTACCTGCGCTCCAACACCTATCTATCGGCGAAAAGCAAATGGTTCTGGAAAAACCTATTTTATGCAATGCCGCTTCCGACGAAGAAAAAGACAAGCAAAAGGAATCAGGAGAATTTCGCCGCTATAGAAGAAGAACGAGAGATGGCCTGTTATACTGAAGACGCAATAGAACTTGTTTAAAGGGCCGTCTATAGCAGGCTCTACCAAGGGCGTAGCGAACTAAACGCTTGCACAAAAGTAAAACTCAAATAATCGATAGCAAGTGGTTTAACTCTTTATGGTAGACTTAAAAAAAATGATAAATGATGGTAACCTTTTTTCTTTTCTTTTTTTTGTCAACAGTATTTACACTAGTGATTAGCGCTATATCTCATTTGAAAGAGGACAAAATTAGCTTTTCAGAAAAAATATATTTTGCCTCCAAAAGTCCATGGATTTTAAATTATGCTAAGAAAATGGCATACAATTTGCATAAGTTAGTGTACAACTTTTGACTTTGAAACAGCCTGGGTCTGAATGGATTGGAGTTAAAAGGAAACATTTCTTAGATAAAATATTCCTTATCTTATGGGCAAGACATCCAGAGAATCTGGCTGAAAAAGAACACATACAGAATTAATTAGAATTTTTTTCCAAACTGTACCCCAAAACCATAAAAATTGACCCAGATTATTGAAAAAGTTATTCCTCACCAAGTATTTACACAAGGGAAGTAAGCTATACCTCACTTGAAACAGCAGTAAATAAGCTTTCCTGAAATGCATGTTTCCTCTCCAAGAAAAGGGAAACAACCTCATTGAATGCTTTCAAACTAACATTAATTAGCATAAAATATCATCAAAATTTGAACTTTGAATTAAGTGATACCCAAATAATATAGAGTAATGAGGCAAAAATTAACTAAAGAGGTTCCTTGTTATATGGGCAACATCTCCATAAAAAATTGGTTGGAAAATAACAAATCTGAGATGTGTTACACATATTTAGTGAACAGTGATTGACACACTGACTAATTAGTCTGACCTCATCATCACCCCAAGCCCAAATTTACTAATCCCTCTTGAAGTCTACAGTGCAATCATTGGAACTACATTTCTTTGTTTGACTTCTGAAATTTTGCCTTGAAACAGGGACAAATGAGATAATCAACCTCAAAATACATAAAGCGCAACATGTATCAAAAGCCTTTCACTTGCAATGCACCACCAGTATTTCCAAGAGTAAACAATTCAGAAGTGAAACCGGAAATTGTCATTTTATATCATTCCACTCATTCTTGAGCATAATTTGTTTGTTTTGTGAATTTTCAGCATGTAACAAGTAGAACCACATCTAAAAAACATGCAAAACATACAAGATAATGTACAGGTCGATATATATTCAACTATCGTTTTAAAAATAAATAGGTTATTTACCGGCTAAGGGTCGGTCCGTATGGTGAAAAACTGTGACCGAGGTCTTGAAAATGCTGCCCTCGGCCTACAGCCTCGGGCAGCATTTTCAAGGCCGAGGTCACAGTTTTTCACCATACGGACCGACCCTTAGCCGGTAAATAACCTATTTATTTTTTTTTAAACTTAACGAAATACATTCTGAAAGAACCCGAATGATTTAGGGCTATAAATACGGCAAGATCCGGCAGAGCACCGCGCATTTAACAATACGTTAATTATACGACAATCTCTAGTTACATTCAAACATGTGCTGGAAAAACTAGAACAGAGCTGAGCGACAGTTTACACAGAATACTGTCAGAACAGAGGCCAGAAATAACCTGCCGGAAAAACCCCAATAGGGAAAAATCTCGGCAGGAAATCTGGAGGGGATCCATGGCTCATGCTCTGAAAAGCCCATCCTACTAAGGCTAAACGGCTGGAAGGTCTTTGCCCTTATTTACTAAACATGTATTCCAACAAAGCACGGAAAACTTTAAGTAATTTTAGGAAACGCAAACAAGCTAAGAAACCCCTGCAAAACTCGAACTGCCACTAGTAAATCAGATATATACTAAAAAATAACGTGAGTAAGACGAGGTGACGGCCTTGAATGCTTTCCCACGTGATAAGCATCCTTTATATAGCACTCCATTCTACCCATGCTGCACTTCAACTACACCAATTCCCACTGCTCCCGTGCCAAAGAAATATTTCTTTTCCGGCTAATTCGTATCCACTCAAACGCCGGAAATTCCATTTTCACCTCGTCTGATATAATTGCACTATTTTTTAACAACGAAAACCTGCGGCTTTTTAACCAAAACCTCTTTTTGACTACAATTTGATAATTGAATGCGCCAAAAACAATGGGTAAAATTATTCCAAAACAGTTTTTGAACAGAGAAATATGGAAACCTGGATTAAAATTTAACGCTGGGTTAGCGCCAATCGGCCTTTGAACAACTGGGCCTAGTGAGTCTTTCCTCAAAATCATTTCATCACAAAAACAAAAAACAAACAAACAAAAGATTTATAAACGGAGTTGCGGTCGTATTTCTGATATTGTTTTTAGGGTCCACTATTTGATTAATGCAATTAAACTCACTGGATATTGACAAAGCAAGTTTTTATCATTTTATCCACTGGCAAGGTGTTCATTACACCCGTGAATCCGACTGGAATAATAAAAGCTAGTTTCTCAGAAAGCTTATTAACTGAAGAAAAAAATAGCTACAGCAGTACCTTTTTCAATCGCAATTCGTTTTCTTTCTGTATCAATAAACACAGACACCGATGTTGGGCTTTAGATTTGGCACGAAATAGAAACACAAGAGAAACAAGACCACGCGATACTTAAATTTCCATGACTGTAAAAAGGTCTTTTCAAAAATACATTTATCAAAAGCTCGGTGTATAAGATCATTAAGCGTAGGACAAGCGTAATATTGATCACTTTGCATTTCGTCAAAACAATCATTTCGGGTTCACTAACTTGGGATTTTTTGACATGGTGTCCTTCATCGCAAGCTTGCTGAAGATTCACACAGGCCTGTTTTAGTTCAAACAAAATGTTTGTCTCGCCATATCTGCTGTGCTGGTTCATCACATAAGATGGAC